AACCTGAATCACCAGGGTTAGGAAAGGTGGGTGATTTGGGGTTAGAAAAACACTTTTCTGAGACTTTGTGATTAAGGAAGTCCCAGCCCAGAGTTACATTCTGGAAGCCTCTGGATGTGGGCAAGACTAGGAAGTGGAAAAAGAGATTCTGCAGGGAGAAGCAAGTCCCAGAGTGTGGCGGGTGGCCCCAGCCAGCAAGCAATGCAGTGCCCTGTAGCAGGGATGGCAGAGGAGCGAGGGGTGCCAGCCACTTCTGACTCACTCTGCAGTGATTTCCCTGTTAGTGCTGAGCCAGGAGAGGAAGCTTGCTGTAAAAGAGACCTGAATGTCAGTGCCCTGGGGCCCAAACAGGCTGTACCCACAGCGGAGAGAGGCATGGCAATGAGCGGGCCCTAGAAGCCTGGGATTCAAGCCAGGATTAAGATTTGGAGCAAAAGTGGCAGTCAAAACCAGGACACCTCAGGCCACCACTGGGAGAAGTGCCCGATTCCCCTGATGACATGAATTAGGGCTCATGTAATCTTGGTTGCATATTAAAGTCTAGAGTGGGGCCAGATCTGTGTGGTTAGGGGAAGCTAAGGGGAAGAGTATAAGCTTAACATCCGTTTTTGCTTACTTTCCGGAAGTACATAAGGCATTAGCTTTTTTAATTTTGGTTAGAGGTATCAAATTTTCAATAATACCTTTAACGTTTAAAACAGGACTTTTAGAAATACACTTTTTAGTAAATGACAGACTCACTGACTTGAGTGAATCTTTTCAGGTATTATGGAAATGAAATTCCCCCTAAGGCACAAAGTTGCTTTGAAATCTATTTCTGAAATACCAGAGAGTGGCTAAGCCCTTCTCTTGGCACTCACCATAATTTAGTTCAAACACAATTACTGTAACATAATGTGATTTTACTATACCAACTCAAATTTGGAAATTAAACACTTTATAAGGAAAACCAGCTCAACCAGCTTGCTATAGACACTGGTGATTTCCCACATTCATTTTCTATAGTGATGAGAAGGCAGGGTTGCTGCCAGTGCCTCAGAGGCAGCCCTGGTCTGGTCTCTTCTTCTATGCCCAGCACTATGGGCATGCAGGCATTCAATGGATGCCAGATGAAAGCATATACTGCTCCAGATGCAAATGAGAGTCAGGGCTTCTTTCCTCGGGTCTTCCCCTCCTCCTCCTGTTCCAGCAAAGGTACCATTAGCGACACTCTCAGCCCCAATTTATTACATGTGAATTTTATCCAGTGAAAAATATCACCATTGGAAAATTACAGCATAGACCATTACAATTACAGATCCACAAAATAAAGGATTCCAACTTTACCCAGCTTAGGAATTTAAGCACTACTCTGCAATTCCAGGTGTCCACACTGTGCCCATTCTGAGCCAAGACACTTCCTTTGTCTAGCCGAGATCTATGCTTTCTGAGTTTTACTCTGCTTGTGCCACGGGCCCGGCTCAGTTATCCTCTGCCATTCAGGGGAACAGAGAATTGGTTGTCCTGGTTCTGAGACTCAGTTCTGAAACAAACAAGGTTCATAATGTCGACGGAATTCTCTCCCTCTTACAAACTCACACACACATAAGGCACTTAGGAAGATGTATAATGTGTAATGATACCAGAAAGGCAATCCTGCACGATGCCTAATGGGATGGATATATGTCTTCATGGCAGCCAAAGAGCTTTCATTTATATTTTAAAATCTTTTATTTGTTAAGAAGCAGTGGGTTAGCTCTCAATCACAAAAATAGAAAAAGCCCACTGAGAAACTGGTTTCTAAAAAACACTAATTTATCATAGTTATAATTTAGCCCATTTAGTTCAAGCTCTGTAAGGCTGCTAAGTGAACCTAGGGAGAGAAAAGAATTCATCACTGAGGCAGATGCTGGTTTCCTACCTAATACCTTTCTCCCTATTAGCAGAGCTGGCTTCCCATTAATTAAAAAGCCAAAGCACGCCATGACCAGCTCTCCCAGGCCCCTCTGAAGCCAGCACATGGGATGTGACCCAACCATGACCAGTGCGGAGCTCTTAGGGACAGGAGACATCAAGAGAGATCCTCTCTTTTCTCTGTCAATAAAAAAAAA